TCTTGATAAAAAAGCTATGGAAGAAAAACTGTTATCCACCACTTTTCTATCCTAAGCACAGAAAGCCTACAAACACAGTAGCTGTTAGGATCCTGAGTTTTAAATAATCAAACATGAGACTCTAAAATGGGGGCCAGCAAACATTTTTCTGTAAAGGGCCTAATAGTAAACATTTTAGGCTTTGTGAGCCATGCGATATCTGTCACAACTACTCAGCTCTGCTACTGTAATGTGAAAACAGCCTTAGATAATATTCAAAGAAATAACTGTGGCTGTGTTCCAGTAATACTTCATCTACAGGTGCTGGCAGGAATTGGTACGCAGATCATAGTTTGCTGACCTCTGGTCTAAAATATCAACCAGTTCTCCACGTTTCTACTATACAGATATAGATATCTATATATCTATATCTATATACTCAAAGTTTATTGAATGAATAGCAAATGAGTAAGGCTTGCGTTTTCCTAGCATGCCTGTCTCTACAGGGTGCCCACTATGCCTTGTCCAGCTCCAGTACACTTCAAATTTTTAGTTAAAATAACCCAAGTCCAATATGCCACAACACTGTATGAAACTCTGATATGGTGGGGTTCTCCTCTCTCTTTTTCTGTAGGAAATTTATGAGACCTGTACTTCTGCTATGGCTCAATATAGCCAAAATACCTTTCTGTAGAAAGAGAATAGAGATCTGTATGCATCATCCATACCTATGTCTATCTCTATTAGCTGGCTCATTGACAGCAATGGCAATGATGAGACTCTGAAGCAACAGGGACCAAACAGCAGCATTTTATTGCCAGAAGCCAGGGGGTTACAATTACCATACCACCAGGGAAAGTTGAAGGGCACCCAAGTGGACTTGACCTGGAGGGCGATGTGGAGATGATTAAGAGAACATTATATCCCTAGAGGTAAAATAGATGACTAGCCAGTGAGGGTGTTACTTAATATATTAACCAAAAGAAGGCAAGAATATATATATGAACAGCAGATTAAGGGTGGTAATCTCAATAGAAAGTCTTGATCTTTTGCCCACATCCCAGAACTCAGCCAGTTTTCAGACCCAAAAACCACTGGCTGAAGAGGTGGCTAAGTCCACAGGAGGAAGAATTTTGAAATACCATGGCAAAAATATACTGTGTTAATTTCCCCAAGTTTCCTCAAAAGAGACTTATGATACTTACTTGAGAAAATACACACTATGGAAAGAGGAATATCCAAATATTTGGAAAGAGGAATATCCAAATATCGAATACCCTCAAAATCCTATATTGACTTATAGGATTTCAAAGCATCACGGTAGAGTGGAGGCATCCAGGGGCCAGGCTCTGAAATAAACAGAATCCCAGCCTAAGTCTGGCTCTCAGAAGGTCCAGTAAGTCTGTGGACCCATCCAGTGGTCAACTCTCTGGTCTCCAAATATATGATTGGAATTGACATGTTTGACTGTTGAAGGAACCCCACCTTGACTTCTTCTCATTCAAACCAAATGGGAGCTATCACAGGGGGGAAGGTGAAGTGAGAGCTTCTAAAATGGCACCTCTACACCCCAATGCCCTCTGTCCCCTATTCCTTTGCCAGTCCTGGCTAAGATGGTACATCAAAATCCACTGTATTTGGTGGTAACGATGGGGAGGAATGAATGCTACTCTAAAGGATCTTAAGAATGGCGGGGGCGGGAGGGGGGTGGTCCACATCACAGCTCCATTTGATTTACCAGTCTGACCACTGCAGAAACCAACGGAATCTCGGAGAACGACTGTAGGCTACTACAAACTCAAATAATAACCCCAATCATGGCTGCTGTGCCAATTATGTTATCTTTGCTGGAGCAGATTAATATGGCTTCAGGTACATGTTATGGCATTCTTGTCTATCCCAATAAGAAAAGATCAGAAAAAGGAATAGAAACTGCATTTACGTGGGACAATATACATTTACAGGTTAGGGGCCTACATTACCTCCTGCTGTTGCAATATGATCAGATGAGATCTGAGCTGTCTGGATATCCTACATATCATGTTGATCAGGAGGATGAGCAAGAATGGCTAGCATACTGGAGGCGTTGGCAAGACGTATGCACTGCAGAGTATGGGAGTTTAAGTTGGTGGCAAATGAGTGAACTTCCACTGCTGTATTTAGGGATCCAGCTGGGTCAAGGGCAGTGAGAACATCTCTTCCAAAAGAGAAATCGCTGCAGCTTGCCTTTGTACCAGAAAGAAGGAAACAAAATTCCTGGTAGGATCCTTTGGTTTATGGTGGCAACATATTCCACATCTAGGAATGTGCTCCAGCCCATATACTGGGTGACAGGAATAGCTCCCTGCTTTGAATGAGGCCTGGAGCAGAAAGTCAGAATTACAGTGCAAGCAGCCCTGCCTCTTGGGCCATATGATCTGGCAAACCCTAAGCCACTGGAGGTATTAGTGATGGGAAAATATGCAGTGTGGCGGAGAGATGAAGCCACAGTGGAAGCATCATAACACAGACCCCTGGGGTTTCGGAGCAAGACCATGCCACCTGCAACAGAAACTTATACACTTTTGAAAAGAGTTCCTGGTGTGTTACTGGGGACTTGCAGAGACAGAATTCTTGATTATAAGGCACCAAGTAACCATGCGTCTGGAACTGTCCATTATGAGCTGGGTTCTATTAGACCCACAGAATCATAGACTCAGGCAGGCCCAGCATTCCAAAATAAGATCAAAATTGTGCATCTGGAATTAAGGCTAAGCAAGACCAGAATATATGAAGTGACTGCATGAGCAGATAGCCCAGCTCCTCATGTCACCCACCACGGGTGTACCAGCAACCCTCCCTCAGATCATTCCTCGACTTTGTGGGGCGCTCATGTAACCAGCTGAAGGAGTAAGAAGAGCTTGAACAATGTTTTATGGGCAGGTCACCTTAGTGTGTGAATGCAAGTTAAAAACAGGCAGTGGTTTAATTACCCTCGGGGTGGGAGGGGGTTTGAAAACAGTGGTGAGGAAAAATCGTCCCAATGGACAAAGCTCAGAGTGGTGCACCTGTTACTCATTTTGTGTGGAGGGAGCAGTGGGCTGAGGTGAGAATGAAGACATACGCATGGGTAGAGGGAATATTCTGATGGGCTGGTCAGGGGTCTGGAAGGAAAAGGACTGAAAAATTGCAGTCAAGGAAGTTTGGCATCGAGGAATGTGGATGTTCTTGAGGGAACGGGCATAGTGTGTGAAGACTTTTGACTCACATAGTAATGGACACCAGAAAGCATTCATCACAGAACAGGCAGGGAGCAACCAAGCAGACACATGACTAGGCCAGTGCACATCAGCCAGTCTTTGAATTGACATGATGAGCACATGAACAGAGGAACCACAGGGGCAGAGATGGAGGCCATGCCTGGTCTCTATTTTACTGATACTTCTCTGAAAGTCTAACCTGCCAGCAATAGAGACCGATACTGAGCTCCCAATATGACATCTTCTTCAAGGAGGTGATTTCCAATAGTTGATTTCCTTATGTTGGAGGATCAGTGTGCATCCAACACATTTGACATTTTCTTAAAAAAATCCTAGGAATTTTAGTAACTTCAGTGCCTAATTTTAATATCTTTAGTACCATCAGTGGTGAGTCATTTACTGGCTTCAGCCTCATGCTATTCAATTGAGTGGGGATAACTATAAATTGTACACATTAATGTAAAAAAAATCATAATGGTAAACCTCCTAACACATGAAAGGAAAAGAATCAAACAAGCTATGGTATCTTTTTCAACCACAGTTGGAACATTAAATCAATGGTGTATGCAAAATTGCTTAGTCTCATATTGGGCATATAATACTAAGTGCTCCATACGTGTTAGTTGAATAATTATCAGTAGGACCATTGGCCTGGATAAGTGCTTTTACAGATATTTATAGATATTGGAAATTTAACATTTTAATGGGAATTGTTAATAAAATGCTATTCTTTTCTGTCTTAAAATAATTTTATAATTTCAGTTTTTCTTAGTAACTCTGTGTTAGCATATGGACATCAAGCATTGCCTAGAATTAACAAGGATGTTCTCAGAGCTGATGGCATGTGTAAGGCTGTGCTTGTCTTTTAACCTTGGAAATCTCCTCTTCTCTAGTTGGTGTATTTCCTATTATACTCCTTATCCTCTGTTCTGATTCCTCACAGATATCAGTGGACATCAGAGTGTTTCAGTCAAGATTGAAAGGAACAGAACCTAGCCTAAATTAAGGGGGATTTACTAAGAAGATATTTGGTGTTCTCATGGCAGTGATGACTCTCTAAGCTTATGGGAAATTGAGCTGACATCTGGAAAAGCATCAGGAACAAGGCTGTGTGTGTGTGTGTGTGTGTGTGTGTGTGAACACAACCTCTTTCCTTCCTTTTTTTTTTCTATGTTTCATTCTCTTGCTCAATATGTACATGGTTTAAAATGATTGTTCTAGCCCTCACTAAATTTAACTTTTTAGTTCAAATGCCAAATCATCTATGAAATCTTTCTGGGTTTTAGTTCAAATTATCAAGTATGAGAGTGTGATAAGATCTCTAAACAGCTGATAAATTGGCTTCTTCTAGATCACCTTTGGTCAGAGAAAGAGAAACAAAGACCTGGAGTACAGGTGTCCTAGGGCATAAACATAGCTGCCTAGTTCCCCTTATGCATTGCTCTGTGTGTGTGTGTGTGTGTGTGTGTGTGTGTGTGTGTGTGACCGTTCTTAGGGAAGGAACTAGAATCTATAAACCTAGTTTTGATCCTAAATTAGAGATGGAAAAATTATATCTGGTCCTGCCAAAAACTGTTTCCATTTTCATCTTGACCAGCTTACATTTGAGAGTTTTCCTGCTCTGGATGGTATTAAGAAAAGATGACAAGGATTAGAGTTCCTAACCTTTCCCCCTGACTTTTCTGTACTATCCACAAGAATTGTATTAAAAACACTATTTCAGGCAACAATAACATAGTCATCCTAATGATGCTATTTTTCTTTCAGATCAGTTTAGACAGAATGGTTGATCGGCTCCAAGGAACATGGAAATCCATTTCTTGTGAAAATTTTGAAAGATACATGAAAGAGCTGGGTGAGCCATTTTTACCTGCATATCATAGCCAGTAAAAAGGGGAGATTTGATAGCACAGAAACTTGGTCTGTATGGTCTCAGATTAATCTTGGGCCCCTCCCTCCAATAGAAACATAGAAACAATCACATAGAAATGATCAACATTGGTTCAGGACCTAGATATAGTTCTATGCAAAATTAGTTTGTAATTGACAGAATTCTTGCCCTCATGTAATTTACCATGGGTTTACATAGATAAAACACATAAGCATCATATACTAAATGGCAAATTATTTCCATAAATAATTTAAAGCAAAAAGTCATAATTATTTTTTAAAAATAATCATTTTTACAAGGATTTGCTCTAAATCTTTAGAGGATCTTCAGAATAGATCTTGTTTCCCAGCTGAGATGGCTGCTGGCCTTCCTTGGTGTCTGGGCACCACACTCCGATCTCTGCCCCTATTGTCACATTGCCTTCTCCTCTTCTGTAGTCTGATGTCCCTCTTCCTTTTCTTATAAGGGAAGTTTCTTATAATGAAATTGTGATTACATTTAGGGTCCACATGGCTGATTAGTTCCCTATCTCAAGATCCTTGAGTTAACCATATCTACAAAATCCCCTTTGGCATATAAAGTGACATTCACAGGTTCTAGGGATTAGGGTGTAAATATCTTTGGGAATCATTATCTAATACACCACAACTTGTTATCATGTTTCACAATATGAATTCATGAACCATATTAGAGTGTTTCTCCAATTTATCTTCTCTTAGAAATTTAAGTATTGTTGTACATGTGATGCTATTTCTTTAGAAAATAGTCCTACATGTACTGCATAAAGCTGTGTGTGTAAGAATGTTCACTATAGCATTACTTGTAATAAGAAAAAGTGGAAACAAACAACATGTCCCTCAAGAGGGAGACAGATGAAATAAATATTAATATATACACTCTATAAAATATTATGTAGCAATGACAAAAATTTATATCTATGTGTACTGACACAGAAAATCTTTAAGATATAGAGATGGGGAAAAGTAAGTTGAGTAACAATTGTTATAATAGAACATTTATATTTTTAAAAATTCTATATATAGTGGTGATGGTTGTATAATATTGTGAATGTACCTAATGCCACTTTTTTTTTTTTAAGATTTTATTTATTTGACAGAGAGAGACACAGTGAGAGAGGGAGCACAAGCAGGGGGAGTGGGAGAGGGAGAAGCAGGCTTCCTGCCGAGCAGGGAGCTCGATGTGGGGCTCGATCCCAGGACCTTGGGATCATGACCTGAGCCCAGGGCAGATGCTTAACGACTGAGCCACCCAGGCGCCCCGTACCTATTGCCACTTAATTGTATGCTTTAAAATGGTTAAAATGATAAATTTTATGTTATCTATATTTTAGCACAATAAAAAAATACATGATGAAAAAAACAAACTCTATATATGTGCATATTAGAATATAAGTGAAGAGATAAAGATCTTAAATAAACCATGTCAAAGTATTTCATCTGTATAAATGAGTGCATTTTAAAAGAGGGAGATTTTTTTTTATTATGTTCAGTTAGCCAACATATAGTCCATCATTAGTGTTTGATGTAGTGTTCGATGATTCATTGGTTGCATATAACACCCAGTGCTCATCACAACATGTGCTAAGAGGGAGATATTTTATCAAAATAGGAGCTTTAATAAAAATTTCAAAGAGGTTCATGAACCAATAAGATCAATAACTACTGGGCTAAAGAAACATGACAACCAGTAGCCAAAACTAGAGATTAATTTTTTTTCTGCAAAATATAACCTATTTTAACTTATAATGGTAGTGCTACTACCTTCAGATATTTGAATTCATGCAGCATTAAATCTGCTTAACTCACAGACCTCCTCGTTAGTAAAGAATTACGCAGTGAACATGGGTTTCTAAAGCCAGCAACAGATTTAACTATGGTGTCCTTTCATCTGGTTTCCAGGAATAAGACGAGCCAGCAGGAAACTTGCCTGTCTGGCAAGACCCACTGTGACCATCAGTACACAGGAAGATCTGATCACTATAAAAACCAAAAGCATCTTTAAAAATAATGAGATCTCCTTTAAACTCGGAGAAGAGTTTGAGGAAACCACACCAGGGGGCTATAAAACCAAGGTGAGGCCTTCAACACTCTTTCAGATACATTTCATAAGAATGTCAATTTGAAATCATTCTAAGTATGTAAACAATTATAGCAAACACATCCAAAGTCTGTATTAGATAAACGTTGGGCTAAAGCCTAAATCTGAGGATCTTAAATTTTAATATACATACACATCTCCTGTGACGCTTGTGAAAAGTGCCTATTTGTAGGTCCCATCCCCACAGGCTCTGATGTCTGGGGTAGGCACCCGAAGTATTTCTGTGTATTTCTAACATTCTTTTTTCTTTTTTTTTAGTTAAAATTTTATTTTTATTATTTTTTTTCATATTCTCGAGGTCAAATTTTAAAAGAATACATAATTACATCATACATGTTAGATAAATGGGGTATTATTCTTTCTTCCAGGTTAAGGGTTATTTTAACAGCTGATTAGAGTGAAAAAATAAGAGATGACACTCAGCAATAGGATAAGTCTTCCAGTCCAGTCTAATACTAGACTATGTATATGCAGGGTTTTTTTTTTTTAACATCTCTTAATTTTCAGGTTTATGTATTTCTAACATTTCTGATGCAGATGCTTAGCAGACGCATTTTGAGAATCATTTCCTTAGATTCTTCTCTCAGAAACAAAAGTTCTGCCTTCCTACTTTGTAGCAGTTTTCTATGGATAAAGTTACAATGAATAAAACTTATATTAACCAGTTCAGGTGAGGTTGTGCCTCAGCACCACGTTAACCACAGGCCCCAGTGACTTAACACAATGGGAGCTGCTTTCTAACTTAGTATACATATTCAGCATTGTGGTGGGTTTGGAGAAGTTTCTGTGTGCGTGCGGTGGAGAGCGGGCAGGAAATGAGGGCATAGGATATCTACCCCTCTTCATTTCTCAGGGAAAAGAGAGTTTTACTTATTCTTCAAGATAATATATTTTTATTCTTATAAAACTTTTCCTCCCTCAGAATAATCAGCCAACAAATTTAGTGTTGACAAAGTCTTAAAATATAAATAAAACTGTAAACACCATTCCAAAACTGCCTGAGAATATCACAACCGCTGAAAAGGATTTGGTCCTTGATAAAATGTTGGTATTTAAATGTGACAGTCTGAGCTGAATTCCGTTTCATCCGTTTTCAGAGTGTGGTAACCTTCGATAAGGACTCTTTGATTCAGGTTCAAGACTGGGATGGCAAAGAGAACACCATAAAGAGAAAGTTGGTCGATGGGAAAATGGTGGTGGTGAGTGAGCTGTTCGTCATTATTTTCGTCACCTGCTCTAACACCTGTATATAAAATCATTCAAATAGCTTGTTATAAAATAATAGAAGTCAATGTAATTTTCTTTTTTCTCTTGCTTTATAAGAATGGGGGAAGACATTGGCAGATAAATATAATAGATATAATATTTATGCATGATCATAAATATTATAAAATGCGCATGGGTTGAGGAACTAAAACGCTAAAGAAAATAAAAAAGTTGTGTCGCCTAATTCTTTGACTTGCACATAAGCCAAAACCAGCACGTATTTGTGCAATGAAGATTTCAGCAGGGATTGTGGGTTGTTGCTAATCCTTTGCTCCATACAAAGATTAATTTCTCACTGTTTTCCAGCTCAACACCAAACAAACACATGAAAAGGAAATTTAAACTAATACAAAGCTTAAGTGGTGTCTCCTTGGTGTATGGATGAGTTGACACAATTAAAAACTAACATTTCTGTGGCTACCGTGTTTGCATGTTTTCATATATTATTTACCTAATCCTCACAATAATTCTGTGAGGTAAGACTAATTAGCTTATTTAACAGTTGAGAAAACTGAGAGTCAGCCACTGACTTACCTAAGGCTATTATCTAAGAAAAACATAGTGCTGCTGGGATTAAAACCCAGGCTGGCTTAATTCCAATGTATACTTTTTTGAGTCCATTCTGCTCCCTTTGAGGATGGCTTCTCAGGTCATCTTTCTCCCTTCTACACAATGGAGGGAAATATGCCAATGATTCTTCTTCCCAAACCCCCAGTTCCACTGAAATGAATAAAATGACAATTTTGGACATAATGTCAAATAGTTCTAAGGGAATATGTAAGAATTATGTGGAAGTAAAAAAAAAACCTATCCTCATTTCTTAATGTAAGGATTTTTTTTCTTTCAACAATGAAGAGTACATTTACTTATAAAGTAATAAGTGGAAGACTAAGGATACTTGATTTTATTTCTCCTTATAATGACATTAATCACCAAACAGATATGTTTTTAATTCACTAGGGAGAATATAGATTCAGAATTCAAAATGTGCACTTCCATCTCTGCCATTCGGTACTTCTGTGACTTTGGATGAGTCATTTATCCTCTCCAAGATTGAGTTTACTTGCCTTCAAAAATGTAGGACTGTCTTTATGGTTTTTTTGAGAGAATTAAAGACCATCATGTATATATTAGTGCTCTAAAAACCATAAAATACTACATCAATGTAACTTAATGTTATTATTTGAAAAATGTAGGTTATATAAATTAGCAAAAATGCTTCACCATAGGCATTTAAAATGTTTTAACAGACTTCAAATTTTATACTATTTGCCTTGTTTTTTGTACATATATACACACACATTATATATATACACCATATATATGTATAACCACATATACCATATATATGATTTGCCATTTTTGTATATATACATATACACACATTACATATATACCATATATATGTATAACCACATATATCATATATAACATACGATTTGCCACTTTGTTAGCAAAATCAGCTAACAAATAGTTGGTATCTATAGTTGTCTACATAGATCTCTTTTCAAGATTTTTAAAGAATGTGTGTATGGATAGTACTTAGTTTGCATTGTTCTAAAAGTCAGTTTCACCAATAATACTGAATTGTCTCATCCTTCATTTGTCTTCTAGGAAAGTGCCGTGAACAATGTTATCTGCACTCGGATGTACGAGAGAGTACCAACAAACTCAGTCTGAAACTCTTAAGCACACCCAAACTGTGATCCAAACTGCTGAGGTTGTTTAAATAAAACTCCAAAGTGAAATGTTACAACTGTTAATATGAGAGAGCCTGTGCACAAACATTGGCAATTCTGGTTTGCTTACTTTATATGGCTGTATTATATATCACCTTGGTATTGGGAGCTCTGGGAAACCACGTGATATATCCTGTTCGACTCCAGGCTGCTCTAATTCATTCAGAAAGGCACTTCGTGTTGATTTTTTTCTCTTTAGGCATATTTTGTCAATCCTTTATATTCAACATGATCTGCACTATATTGGGAAAATAGTATTAATTAAAAAAAATCGGGGTGCCTGGGTGGCTCAGTTGGTTAAGCGACTGCCTTCGGCTCAGGTCATGGTCCCGCAGTCCTGGGATGGAGTCCCACATCGGGCTCCCTGCTCAGCGGGGAGTCTGCTTCTCCCCCTGACCCTCCCCACTCTCATGCTCTCTCTATCTCATTCTCTCTCTCAAATAAATAAATAAAATCTTTAAAAAAAAAATCTTCTTGGGGTGCCTGGGTGATGCAGTTGGTTGAGCATCTGACTCTTGGTTTCTGCTCAGGTCGTAATCTTGGGCTCGTGATTTCTGAGTCGTGGAGTTGAGCCCCACATTGGGCTCTGTGCTCAGCCGTGGAGTCGGCTTGAGATTCTCTCTCCCTCTGCCCCTCCCCACCATGCTCATGTGCACGCTCTCTCAAATAAATAAATAAATCTTTAAAAACAACAACAAAAATATCTTTTTATAGGTGCTGGAGACACATCAGAAAACAAAACAGACGAATCCATGCCCTGAGAGAGTTTACAATCAAATGACATTGGAGGCTGTTCGGAATGATTCATATTTCAGATTTAACTTAGTATATGATGATTTGTATTTAGAAAGAATTTTGTGTTAAATGCTCAGAATTTTTAATTTAATGTCGAAATTATTACATCACGCACTGATATGAATAGAACTCTATAAAGAAAAATTTTGTTATAAACATCTATGCTAATTTCACTGAGCATTTTCTAACATAACCATTTATTTTGTGAGCCTCTCAGTGTTTTTCAATTCCTTGCACACCAGGGCAATTATCTAAAATTAGTAGTGTGCAACAATTTAAAATTAATAGGATGAGGACCATTGGAAGTACTAACTTAAGCATTTACCCATCTTAAAAGAATTGGTATGTAAGAAACTATTTTCTGTCTTATTGGTAAAAATTTATGCTTAGATCAAACTTATAATTAACAAAGAAGCTTCATTGGATCATAGTTTGCAGTTCCTTTTTTTTCTTTTTACCTTTTAACCCCCTTCATCCACTGGGAGAAATGGGTGAAGGGGGTCAAAAGGTAAAATATTAATTTTTTAATAAACTAGCTGGGACACCGTGTGTCTCACAGGTTATACCTCAATGTACGTGAGCGAATAATGCACAGGTCTGCAACTAGAGCAGTAACTGACAATCTAATATATTAGCAAGCTCTTTTTATAGAAAACACATACTACTAACATCACACTAAAAGCCAAGGCAAAGGAGAATATTCTGTTTTATTAGCACCGAACCTTATGCAGTTTAGGACAGGGAGGGATTTCAGGAACTGTGTGGACTGATCACTTTATTGTGTCGATGGAGAGACGGGCCCAAATGGGTAAACTGTACATTTCCATAGCACCCTGATGGTTTTAGGAGGACCTGGAACCAGAACCCATGTTTCTGGATAGTTCACCTCACAGCTGTTAACAGAGGGAATCAAGATAGAAACAGGTTCACAGTGTACAATTACAGCTCAATGTAACACTACATCCAACTAATGAAGAAACAAGCTTCCCTTTATTTATTTTTTTAAAGCTTTCATTTATTTATTTATTTGAGAGAGAGAGAGACAGAGCACAAGCAGGGGGAGGGGCAGAGAGAGGGGAGAAGCAGGCCTCCCGCTGAGCAGGGAGCCCGATGGGGGGGCTCGATCCCAGGACCCGAGCCGAAGGCTGACGCTCCACTGACTGAGCCACCCAGGCACCACTATCCTTTACGTTAAAACCTGTGGCAGGATGCCCAGCTTGGTCCAGGCGATGACATAGAGTTTGACTGTTGGGACTCGTGACCCGTTCACTGCTTATTTGCCTCAATTGATATATTAGGGGATCTTGGAGCTCCAGTAGGAGTGCGAGAAGTGCTTGTTTATTTTTCGGTTACTGAAATGGTGAAGAAGATAATGGAAGGCATAGAAAAACATCCTCTGGCTGCTTGGACTGGATAGAGAGGATCACAGGCTGAGGCCGAGGGAGCTATTTTCCCACCACCCTGTGGATGCTGTGCACCTGAGCAGCCTGCTGCAGGGCCGGGGGACAGCATGTTGCACAGAAATTGGAAAGAAGCATTCTCCCGCCTGAAATGGAACCCAGCACTGCTCTGATACCTGAAGGGTCAGTGGATACGGGAGCTTCACACACAGTGCTCTTGGCTTTGGTATGATGTTGTAATTGAGGATTTACTGCACATTCACCATGTACCCAGCACTGCATGAGAAGGGTGATCAAAGGAGAGCTAAGTCGTGTTCCCTGCCCTTGACTGACTCGAAAGAGAAGAGATCTGTTTAAAAAGTATCACATTGGCACGTTCATCTCAGGAATTTATAAATAACAGATTAAAAACCAAATGCTTTCACCTAGAGAGAAAGATCTAATAACACTTTCTTAGTGGATAGATAATTGCCTTGCCCAGGTGAGAAGAAAACTAGCAACAAGGGTGGCAGAAGCAGTAAGAGTGTGGACAACAGCCTGGCGAGGGAGGCACACATGGGCTCTAGTGCACACCTTATCAGGACGTCTGTCTTAGGGAGTGCATCCCTCCATGCTGCAGCCTCCATGCACTTTGTACCCATTCCGTTCAAGTCAGTAATCACTATTTAGGATATATAGGGAGTGTGAACTTATTCCTAGAGAGGCATAGCCTGTTCATCCTAAGCCAAGAGAAGTTTTTTGCATTTTTTTCTTTTCTTTCTTTCTTTTTTTTTTTTTTAAGATTTTATTTATTTATTTGAGAGAGAGAATGAGAGAGAGAGAGAGAGCATGAGAGGGGGAGGGTCAGAGGGAGAAGCAAGCTCCCTGCCGAGCAGGGAGCCCGATGCGGGACTCGATCC